AAAAACTAAAGAAGACGCCGATAATGAGCTGGTACCATCAGACAAAAACACAATCATGACAAGAATTGCAAATCCAGAACAACAGGATGTGACTATTGTACATAACTTGCATCAACACCTTGTTTGAAGACTTGTTTCAAAACTGGATGTAATGTATTTTGGGTCGACGGAAATGAATGTTCAAAATCGTTGACCAATTGCATGAAAACAGGAATCACAATCAAAATCAGAATTGAAATTGGACACATTAAAGTCATTTGTCATCATATCCCATGGCCAGATACCAATATTCAAAATAGGAAATAGTCAATGGTTATTGAAAATAATCAATATTTACCAAAATCCCAGCAATACAATCATGATAACTTACTGGCTACCTCAAATCAGCAAATCGTTTGAAAATAATACCACAATAACTATCAAACATACTTTGAATGTAATTGATGATTCACCAACAATACCACTGGATGCGGTAGATTTGGAATATCAGATACAACAAGTCAAGTGTCAACATGGCAAACGATGAACTGGATGTATTTTTCCAGCATTTGCTTGACCCAAGAAATGGTGCTGGGTTCCATCAAGATTACGGATTCATAGTATGATATATTTAACATATTTGGCGTCTACATCGGCACTCATTACCATGTTAAAGAAATCAGACCTTTGTTGAAGCAATCAAACATTGCCGCTTTACAAGCAAAGCTTAAAGTGGAGATATTATATCTCCACTTTCTCCACTCACTCCCTTAACTAAATTACTATAAAAGCCAAGATACTTTCTTATTAAATAAACATCCTCTGAATATCCTCTGAATCAATCTTCTAAATATCATCTAAATATCATCTGACATAATTCCGTTATTATCTATTAAGTTCAACTCGTTATTCTGTTGACTTTCATTTGCGTGACTACTTCCTGATTATCATTCAAGATCTCTTCTGACCGATCTTTTCTACAGCGGCAGATTATATATTATTACCTTATACTTTACTAATTGAAAGACTCAGTCTCTTTCTCTATTTTCTATCTCTATACTTCTTGCGCGATAATCAAAAATCTTTAACATACCATTTGATACAATTTATGCTGTAATGTGTGCTGTTTTCCCATCACTTTACCAAGAACATCTGAATCGCTAAATACATGATGAGCCATTCGGTCTACATTGATCTGAGCGTCCGTTACAGTGTGATGATGACTTTTGATCAAAGTTAAAGCAGACATTGACCGTTTACGTATAGTTCAAATACACTTAACGGCTTGCATTGTACACCCCTTAATTTATTCCTTCCTTATTATTGACCCTTATATTCTGTTTCATTACTTTTATTCAAGAGACTCAGTGTTACCAATCGTGCAACTTTATTCCATTATATCAACATAGCCAACTACAGAAATCGATACTATTGGCTAAACTACTTTCAATTACAATTGCTTATTATCAAGCATTATACTGTTTGTTACGAACCGCAAACAACCAATTACTATAAAAACCAAGACATTCTCTTGGTAAATAAAACAACTCTGAAATAACTTTGAAACTATCCATCAAGTTTACTATTCAATTCTGTTGATTCTGACTTACCTGACAACTTCCTAATTATCGTTCAAGCTCTCTTTTGACCAATCCTTACTATAGCGGCAGATTATATTCTATTTTACTTATTGAAAGACTGGTCATCTTTCTATTTTCTACATTTCAACTTGTTCGATAAAACCTACATTCATTAATAGGTTATCATGTCATTGATGTATATGTAATAAACCGTGTCAATATATCAATCAACAACCCAGTAACTGTTGATGTAATACCCAACACAATACACAATCAATGATATGGTTGTTGATCCATTCACAATACTCGATAAATACCAACATATCAGAAAGTTTAAATTTATTCAAAATCATCGACACATTATCAATCTGAATTTGAACTCGATTCTTCAAATCTCAAACCATGCCTTTTTATAAAATCCTTCAATCGTTGTCTGATACCGTTTAATTTTTTGGTTGCCTGTTCATACTCTTGTTTCAATTGCTTTTCAGTGTCTGGATCGTACCTTGGTCCAGATATTTCTTTACCCATTGCTAACGCTAACTGCTGACTGAATTTGAGGTTTGCATATCTACGATATTCTTGCAATTTTTTCTTTTGTATTTCTTTAAACTCTACAAGCATTTGCTTTATACGATTAAAGGTTCTCTGGTATCTTGGGCTTAATCCAGCTATTTGATTTGTAACAGTATTAACAGACTCGCCTTCGTTCATTGGTTGTTGTTGGTCCTGTCTGGAAGTATTTGGAATGGGTTGATTCATTGGTTGTTTCCGACTTTGTTTTGGAGCACTTGGACTGGGTTCATTAGTTGAGCCAGACGCTTGGCTAAAGGTACTTGGACTGATTTCATTGATTGGCCGTTTCCGACCTCGTTTGGAAGTACTTGAACCAACTACATTTATTGATTGCTGTTGGTCTTGGATGGAAGTGATTGGATCAATCGGATCAAATATGTTTTGCCAGCTTTCGTCGAGAATGCTTGAATTAATTGCATCCATTACTTTTTGCCAATCTTGATCGGAAGTGCCTGGATTAGGCTCATTGGTTGGGATAGACACTCGGCTTGAAGTTCTTGATGCTTTGGCAAAACCATATTTATCAGCTGGAGGAAGTATTGCATTAGCGGTTGCTGCTACAGTCAGTACAAATAAAATATCAACCAATTTCATCAGATTGGTCAATGGGTTTAAACAATAGTACAAAAGTAGAGTGTTGAGACTGGTGTCGATTAGGAATGAACATACTCGATTGTATTTTTGTATGTTTTGTATAGCAAACCAACCCTAACCCTTTTAGATTAACCAATTATACAGGGTTACTTGATTGCTTGTAGTGGGTTACTATTAAACTAGACAGTATGCTGCTCCCTAATCATAATGCCATATTGATCAATTTGATGATTGTATCGATTGGATTATGCTTTTATGACCCTTTTATCAGGTATATTGAAAAGCACCCTTCATGAGTGTGTTGTGTAACCCCACAAACGCTTTGATCTACAGCTGTATTCATGTCAAATGGTTCACTCCAGTATTCATCATACAATGACTGTATTCTGCATTGCAATATACAACCATCATCATATGACACACAATCATACTATAATGTTGAATCTACACTTTGCACTCTTAGTAATCATGCATTGCACGATCAACAAGTTTGAACCCACATTCATGTATTGTGTTTGACTGTCAATGTTGTCAATACAACTCTGCACATTTATTGTATTCTGAATCACGGATACGATTGCAATCTAGTTCAACAACAATCATGACACATGTCAGTAATACAACTGCTGTTTGCATGCCAACACTGTTATTTAGTGATCCATTTACATCAATATGGCTGCAAGTTGTTGTTATATCACGTATTCTGGACATGGTTTTGGTATTGCGCATCCAGTTCCATCACATTGCTGCTGACCCATCATTGTAACGCTGTATGTATCAAACACTGGCATGTTCCCATAACCACAATCAGTAAAATGACACTCGAGTTGTTTACTGTGATCAATATATGCAACCCAGTGCGATTACACATACTAGATCCAGTCTGTTGGTTGTTTCAGTTGACCTTGATCCACTTTTGACGTTTTGTCCGAGATTGACAATACAAATGTGTCAAGCTGAACCCAAACTACGCGACTCGACTGTTTGTGTCAATTGGATCATGACTGAACTATGCGATCATGATGTGTATTCAATCAATACCATGTATTACTAATGCAATAGTATGCGTGATCATCGTGTATCAAACAACTACAATACACACTGGACTGATCCAATACACGCATGACTTGAACATATCACACAATCAAACATGGACACACCACATTAAAAATACATATAATATCAGTTTATCTATAATGAATTGTATTCAGTCGAGTTTATTGAGAGTTATTGTGCGACTTTTGACAGTGTGGTGGGTGTTTTCAGGCACAACTACTTGATCAGTTGTAGTTGTTGATGATTGAAATCAAGAGTCCTGACGTACATCATATCAACTATAAGACAATCAGGATAATCACTCATTCAACAAATAACTAGTTTATTGATATATCTGCTTAGTCCTCAAGTTTCTCGTAATTTGCTTTTGACCGCTTAGTACCACGGAGAGTACTACCAAATCGCGAAAATGATCTCCTGAGACCAGATCTGCCACTTGAACTTGAAGTACTTGGTTGTTCAGGCAATCTAACAGCATGCATCAAATTCAATATCAATATATCAATCGATACACCCACACACCAATATCAAACAACTTACTGTGATGGTGACCAGAGAACTTGATCACCGTTCGAGATAGTAGGATATCCATCAGTCGCGACTTCGCATCCACATCCAGGACCAAATCCAGTGCGTTTATTCTGTAAATCAAATGTGACTGCAAGATGAGTCATAAATGGAATACCAAGAACTGCATAATCATTTGAACCAACTCCTACAGCAAACACGACTATAATTCAACATCTATGTCAGTCAGGTTAATCAAACAACACATATTGCATACAATTGTCAAATATTTACATTTTTCAGAATCGATTTTTTGCATATAGTCTTCCGCCCCCGGATCATCGCGCATCT